CGAGGGCATTCGGGATGACGGCACCGGCTTTGGGAATTGCTGGCGTGAGAGGACAGGATGAGGGGTTGGCAGGTGGTGAGGGGCTGCGAGCCCCAGAGGTAGGGGGGGCAGAGGGACAGCCTGGGTGCTGTGGACCAGGAAGAAGCCGGGTAGAGGATATCCTGCGATGCTTTCTGAAGGGCCAAGTTAAAGGAACTCATGAGCACCGTTTGCAAAGGGTGTGGGTTCGCTGAGCTTGGAAAGGTGAGGGACGTCCTGGGACAAGAGTTGAGGGGGTAAGGCCTGTGCGAGGATGAGGAGCATTAAAGGCCAAGGCGGGAACTTTCGGGGGATGGCTGTGCGTTGATGAAGGAGTTGAAGGCAGAGCAAAGGAGGAAAGAGGGGCTGAGGGCTGTGAGACTTGGATACAAGATGAGGTTGGTTGTAGGGCCTCCTTGCATGTCCTGTCCTGTCCAGAGAGAGCAGTGGTTTTAGAGCAAGCAAGGACAGTACAGGTGCATGGGTTGTGCTCATGGCTGCCCTGCACCCATGGATATTTTAGAAAGGAAAAAAAAAAAAGAAAGCAAAACAACAACAAAAACCCAGCATCATGAGAAATAATACTATCATAATGAAAATGCTTGAGGTTTAGTCATCCACAGAATAATAACTGAACCACAGTTTCCTCTGGTTCTGCAGACTTTAAGATGAGACCCTCATGAAGTTTTTTGGGAGGGGTGGAGAGGTAGAACTGCTTGTATTTTCTTCTCTGCCTACTTCTGGACACCCTTACGGGATTCCTCCTTACCTATGGTTGTCATCTGTATTGGACTATCAGTTGCTAATTCTCCTTTTCATGGAAGTCACATGGCTTGTCACATGCAGCACTGTATTTAGGTTTACTCTCAGGAGTTTGAAAAGCAAAAACAAAACATTGCCTTGTGGAGGTAAATTTTTGGACAGTAAACTGCTCATACTTTTGAATTTACATGTTTTGACATATGTACACATTTGTGAAACTGAGATGCCAAACACTTTTACCACTCTAAAAACTTTCCTCTATTCTTTTACAGTTTATCCTTCCCTCTATACCTTGTAATTGAGTTCATTTTATTTGTGTTTTACAAGCCCATCTCCCTACCAACCCACACAGTTTGGAAAGCTGGACTCAGTGATTACCGGCCATTTTCACATTATGAATCTTCTTCTCTACTGAGTCTGCTAGGTAGCTGAGGCATCTTGAGCCTCCTTAACCATCCCAGTGTTTGGTCTTATGAAGTTCATTCCTTGAGAATTAGAGGCAGCTTCAGTCCACACTCTGTTCCAGAATATCAGCCTGAGAGCTAGTTACTTTATTCTGTGATGTAGATATATTTCCTTCTCTCTGGAGGCCAGAGAGGCCTTTTTCTGTAATGATAAAAGCTTTGGCAGTCTGCCCAGATAATCAGTACTTTATAGGACCTACAAGTGTAACAGGCTGTAGAATAGTGGTCCCTAAACACTGAACCATGGATCCAGTCCATGGTAGTGTTCATGAATATAAGATAAGAAGAAAGAACTAAAGATAAACTTATAGCCTGGGTGGTGTAGCTCAGTGGGAGAGTGCCCTGCTGTGTTCAAGGCTCCCAACACTGCCTTGAGGGGGTAGGGTTAACTTATTCCAAGATTATTGTTTTTTTACTCTTTTGGTGTTAAGGTACTCTTTGTTTTTTCCCTGAAGAAACAAACAATGGTAAAGTAGATGGTAAGTTTAAGAAAGTAAAAAAATAAAAAGTGACACCCTATTTTTAATTAAAAAATATTTTACTGGTTCATGAAATCCTGACATTTGGAGTGACAGTGGTATATGTGTTGTTTTAGGTTGAAGTAGCATGTACTTATATATTTATTTTATATAACTTCAGATATCTGAATAGCATTTATGCTTTCATATTAAATAACAATTCATTATAAAGTCAAAGTTTCATGCTTTATATAGAAACTTCAAAATTTGCTGAAATTATATTGATACCTTGTGAAGTAGGTAAAGGAAGGAATTTTATTTCAGAGATGAGGAATCTCAGAAGCTAGAGGTCACACAGGGATACAATGACAAAACAACTCAAAATTTGGCATCTTCATAGTGCTTGTCACTTGAGGAAGGAAGATTTGTAATAGAAAGTAAAGGTGATGTAGGCAAAAGGCACATTATGTATTAGAAAAGTTGTGATGAAATAGAGGACCGCATACTGGCAAGAAATATGTCTTTATGATTTGTAATTGTTCTACTTGCAAAAGTGATTAAGGGGGCTGAGAGTGTCATTGGGAAGAAGGCTTTAATATTGTGTCAATGACATGGAATAGGTGTATATAATATCTGGTGCATATTCATAATGAAAACCCCACCCTCCCTTCCTTCCTTTCTTCCTTGTTTCCTTTTAGAGACAGGGTCTCACTATGGTAGCGTTGGCTGCCCTGAAACACAGAGATCTGCCTACATCTGCCTCCCGAGTGCTGGGATAAAAGGTGTTCACTACCATGGCTGGCATGTTAGAACATTCTTAGGATTGTACTAGAGAAGGAACAGAATTGGGAAAACTTTTTGTTCCCTATACTAAACTCTTTGTTGCCACAATAACACATTAATTAAAATGCATTTTGACTTCTGACATAGAGGAATTGTAGGCCTGAGAGGATGAAACATGGATGAAGATGCTGTAGTGATAGAAACCTTTTGTGGTGATGTGTGTAATCGTATTTTCCATATCTTTCATGTGTCAAGTACTCTAAAGGCTGCGATAACAAATTCATTTAATAAATTCTTGTTGGGAATATAGTTCCATAAGGTAACAATAGAAATAAGTTGTTGAAGTTGCATAGAACTTGCATAGAGTTCTCATTCTGAAAAGAGTTTTAGTTTAGAGGGAGAATGTAAAAATATAAAAAAATGCATCACAGTGATTACTTCTGTCTCAATCTCTTCCTGTGTTCCAAATATATGTATCTAAGTATGCATATATCTCCACAGGTATCTCTGAATTAACATGCCTGTAACAGAACTTAGTGTTTTTGCCCTGACCCGTTTTTGCACTCATATTGATCCAGAGGATGACTTTGGTGTCATCATCTATTCTTTCTGTTCCTTCACTTCCTAAATTTAGTTAGTCACTAAGATCCCCTCTGTTATGTCTGTTACTGCATCTTCACCAACTTTAGCCTGGTTCCTCAGCTCCTTAGCTCATACCTTTTTTTTTTTTTTAAGCCTATTCCTTTAAAAGTTGATCTTTTCTTGTCCATTCCTAGAATGATCTTTCTAAAAATACAAATGTTAAGCATGGAACTACATTGCTTAAAAACTTTGGCTCTTTGTAGCATGTAGGACAACATCCAAATTTCTTAATATGGCCTCAGCTCACCTCATCATGCCTTGTCTGTTGCCACTTCCTTCTTGTGTTCTAGCTTGGATAAATTGCTCATAGTTCTTTAACAAAAATGTTGCTTTTTAGCCTTGAAATCTTTGTCAAAGTTGCTTCCTCTTCTAGGAACATCTTTTCTTCTTAGCCCAGTGAACTTTTCTTACCCTTTAGGATCAATTTCACCCAGTCTTTGACATCCTCTTTGCCACCCTCACACAACAGGGGTAGAGATAACCATGTGTGACATTGAGGAGTCACTGTTGTAAAGGCAGTTCCTGTTTGCTAGAAGTTTACTTTGTGCTTTATGGGGATCCACTCAGATGAAGAGAGCTTGTAAGAGGCTGAGGTGATATGGGGGAGGTGGGCCATATCTTGTTGTTCATTTGTCTGAGACATGGAAAAAAAGGGAGAGTATGTGTGAGTTCAGCTCCAGAAAGATAGACTATTAGGAGCCCCCACCCCACTGTATTTGTAGAGATTTAATTAGGTCTTTCCACTTCCAGTGTTTGGCCTTTTGCCAATAATTAGTCTTGCTTAGGAAGAGGTCTGTTCTTGGAAGATAGTTTGGTTTCTCCTTTCCTGGTAAAGTCCCTTCCTGCCTCTTATTCTTTGCCTCTCCCAGGGCAAAGGTTCTTAGTGGAGGTTGAACTGTTGTTTTGAGGTTGGTTGACACCTTTTGCTGTGTAGGCCTATAAAACTGTGTTGTGTTTTTGGACCTAGAGGTGAGTGGCTGACCCTGGCTGTGTGTTGATAGATTGGAGAAATTAACTGCTTCTTTTTGCTTACTTTGTGGTTGAGCCTGTAGATAAATCAGGAGAGAGAGGGAGAGAGGGAGAGAGAGCTTTTTCTGTAGACTTTGCTGTGGGACAAAGGGTGTCATAACTATATGTCAATTTTGCCCTTTTTGTCTGGTCTTGAATTTTGCCTAGAGTTTAAGGAGGTGGCAGGAATTCGAAGGAATGGCCCTTTTGTGATTTTTCAGTATTTGAACAAGGCCTCTATTAAGTGTTCGATTTTGCTTTCTGAGGTACAGATTCCAAATGGTTATTTTTCAGAGACGGCAGCAGGTAGTGAGAAAAGGCCTGGGGGTCAGTCTTAACATCTGTAGGTGCTTTGTGGTAGTTAAGCAGGGGAGCAAGAGTGGGTACCCCACATATATTGCAAGATAAGAGGGGATTGTTAGTCTTTCAGAACCTGGACAGGGTTTTGTTTTGGACACAGTAAGAGCTTATTTTGCTGAGCTTACTAAGGCTTGAGTGTGAGGGACACACATTAGATCAGGTTAGATCTCTCATCTCAG